GCGGGGCCGAAGCTCGGCGCTGCGGGGCCGAAGCTCGGCGCTGCGGGCCCTCACAGCTCTGCAGAGGGGCGGGACGGGGGCAGGGGGCCCCTCCGCGCTGCCCGCGGCGTTCGCGCCTCGCCGGCCGCGGGAGGGGTTTTGCTGCGGAGCGGATCCCCCCGGCCGCCCCGGCCCCACCGCACCCCGCGGGGCCGGCGGCGGGCAGCCCGCCATCTTGTCCCGGGGGTCCGCCGGGGCACGGGGCTCCATGCGGAGCCGCCCCCCCCCGAGGGGCGCCCCCCGTGCCGCCCGCCCGCGGGCCCCCAGGCCCGCCCCGCCCCTCCGGGCCGCTCAGCCCTCCGGCTCCCGGCCAGCCATACCCCTCACGGCGCTGTTCTGCCCCGGCCCCATGGCTGCCGCTGCCGCTCCGCACCGCGCACGCGCCGCTGCCCAAGATGGCCGCGGGGCCGCCCCCTCAAGGCCTCCCGGCGGGGAGAGGACAGGCGGAGGTTACGGCGTGCGGGACGGGAGGGCGGAGCGGGCAGCGCTGTCACTGGCCCGACGCCCGGCGCAGGGCGCTCAGGGAGGCCTCTGCAGCTCTAACATGGGTGTTGGGCACCCTGTGCGTCCTGCGCACACGCGCTGGCTCGGCTCGGCGCCGCCGTTCTCTTCTTCTGTCAGTTTTGCTCTGCAAAACGCTTAGAGCAGATCGCTCCGTGCGCCCTCTCCTCTGTAGTTGTGGAAAGATTAAGCGGAAAAGTGATATCCACCAAGTGACAGCCGCCTCGAACCTCATAAGCTTGGGTATTGATGTGAGAACTACTATACCTCAAAAAATTATTATCTAAGTTCTATACCTGGTTAATGACTCTGGGACCTCGTTTATGGTTGGACCTTATAGCAAAGATGTGTACTTATGTCTTTACAAAATGCTTCCGTAGGTGAGGGATGGGTTTTAATGTCTTTGAAATGCAGCTTAGTGTCTCTACCAACTTCAAGCCACAGGTTTGTTAGAGAACCCAGACAGTGTGACTCTGAAACAAATGGGTTGGCACAAGCCCGAATTTCTGAACTTTGGGGGAAAATTACATATACGAGGGGGGAATATGTGCTAGGCAGTTCGGGAAGGCTGTACCTTCCTAGTACCTCAGCCGGTGGGGAAAGAAAGAGGGCAACGTGCAGCCGGGAGTTCAGGGTAAAAGGAGGCTGCACCCTTCCAAACCTTGAGAGAGAAAATCCTGTGGGTGTGTGCCCCAGTGCACTCTGCGTGACTGCTCCGCACTGACTCGATCTTAAGAGGTCTCTTTCAACTTTAATAATTCTACGACCTGTTCAACAGACTTTTCAACCCACACGTCTACTGCTTCTCTCACACACCATGACGAATATGATACACCTTTTCCCTGTATGCAGTTTTGAAGCTTCACACGGTTACTTTCCTGTTCCTCACCTCTCCGCGTGCCGGCCGCGGCCTTCCCCCCGTGTTCATTAGACACGGACTGACCCCGCGGAGCCCGAGGGGCGGGGCGCGCCCGGCCGACGCTCCCGCGCCCGCGCCGAGCCGCTCCGCCCGCGGACTGCGCTTCCCGGCGAGCCCCGCGCGCGGCCGCGGCCCCGCATGCGCAGGAGCGCACAAAGGGCCCGGCGGCTGCGGCCTCGCCCCTCCCGCTTCCGCGGCGCGCGCTCCCGCCCCGCGCTCCCGCCCCGCGCTCCCGCCGCCTGCTTCGCGCTCCCGCCGCGCGTTCCCATGGCGCTGAAGCGGATACAAAAAGTGAGTGGGGCGAGCCGTGGGAGGGGGCGGAAAGGTTCCCCTGCCCTCGGGTAGTCGCCGGTGCTGCCCCCTCCCCGGTGCCGCGGGTTGTAGGCGGCGGCCGGACCGGGCTCAGCGAGGGGTGCCGCGGCAGCTGCTGCCGCGCGCTTGCTTTGCCGGGACTCGTCCCTGCCTCGGCGGCAGCCGGGGAAGAAGAGTGGGTGTGAGACGGAGGAGGGGGGCTCTCGCCGGCCGCCTCTCGGTTTCGGGACCCTGCCGCCCTGAAGGCCCCGAGCCGGTGCTCAAGGCGCCGTTCGTGGACCGGGAGCGGGGAAAGCCGAGGTGCTGCCGGCGCCTTCAGCAGAGGCGCAGGACAACATCCGTCGCTGCCGTTGTGTAACGGGGCCGTAGGCTGGGTTAAGAAGCGTTGTCAGCACAGTTCTTGGTGTGACCTTTGAGCGTATCCCAGTGGTGGTGTTTTGGGCTGGTACTTGTAAGGGCCTGGTTGAAGTTGTGGATTCCCGGTTTCCTTTTGTTTGGCAAGGCTGAGCTGACCGGTGTGCAGTACGGACACGGTACGGCGGCCAGCACGGCTGGATTAAAGGTTAGTGCTTTGGCCGTGGAACAGAATCCCTGGTGTTTGGTTGCTGTTGATGTGCCCTGTTAAGGCGGCATTGCTGCTATCCTGGTTATGTGACGGTGCGATTATTTCTTGTGCAGGATTCCCATTTGCTGTCAGAAGCCATTGGTATTGCTGAAATAGGATTCTATAGAGATGGATTAACCCCACGGTAGGCAGATTTGGGATACCCTACAGTAGATCTCAACTTATTTTGGATGGATTTCTCTCAGAAGTTGGTAGTCCTGTCCCATGCTGCAAAGCCTATGCCTTTACACAAAGTGCAATTACAGGACAACTTTTTTCCTTCATATCACCTTTGCCATGGTTGTTGCATTCGACCACTATATCAAATATTAACAAATTACTACAATGGTTTTCTTTAGCAATAACTTTGTCGTGCTTCTACATATTATACAAATGGTTTGCCTCTTGTTGTCACTTTCATTTCCCACCTCTTCTTGAACATCTCCTTGTCCTCAGGTTTCAATAAAAGGATTGTTCTGATTACGATATCTTTCCAATTCTTGTTCAGCTTCTTTCTGCTAAAATAAACACACAAAGGGAGAAGTCTGGTAATCTAGTATTTTTGAGATGAAGTGATGATTTGGGGCTTTCTAAATGAGGTCCTGCTGGAATTGAATTAATTAGTCTTCATACTTTTATCATGTTGCCTGCATAACTTTTTTTCTTCTTTAGAGATGTTTATACATATCGGAAAGCCACAATTTTCTTTAATGTGGCATTTAAGAACTTTTGATAGATGTGAAATTATGGTTAGGCTTTTTATCTAAGTATCTTTCATTCTGTTAGCTTTATTAAATTCTGTTTCTACTCTTTCAAAATGAAGAAATGCTTTCTAACCTGCTGACTGTGAGGTGCTACGAGATTGCCTAGTTATACAATAAGTTCTATCTGAAACATGAACAGATACTGGGTAAGGTAAGTCCAAGAAGAGTTGAGATTAAATTGGAACTGGTTACCACTTGCTTCTAGTTTGCTGCAGAAATTACTACTGCTAGTTTTCTTTTTTTCCCATTAAGTACCCCCATCACTCTCTTCTGCCTTTCCAGGAGAAGAAAAAGAATTCTACCAGAGGGATTTGGCTAGAAGTCTGTTTCTTGAGAAGTAGAAAAGGAAAGGGAATGGCAAGGAACTAAATTTGTTTCAAATGGAAAGTTAAAATGAAGTGGAGAAGTTTGAAAAGACAAACTGTTATGATGTCATTGTAATACATAAAATTTTCCCCAAAACTATGGAAATGGAAGTTTAACGGTAGATGAAATGCATTTGTATGTTGGTGTGTTTGTCTCCCTTACTTTCCTGGTGTTTCAGACTGGCTGTAAATGTTCATAGTTACGTTGTGTCCGAAGGATAGGAGGGGGTAAGATCTGGAGTAGAGGAAGTGCTGTGGTTTCAGAGTGCCTAGAGGAATTCTTTGGAGAACAAAACAGTGTCAGCAAACACAGCGATATTGCTTGGAGCTCATCAGTCTAGACATACTGTCTGAAGTTAAGCTTTTGTAGGTTTAGGGTGGTTCAGAACAAAGCCAAAGGATTTTAGTGTCAGCTTGAGTGTTTGTTCACAGTAACTTTGATAATTTGTCTGTTCACTGTGATAACACCTACAAAGGAAGCAAAGCTGTAATATGTCAGCCTGTTAGTAAGCATATTTTTTTGTCATACTGTCTGATTTCTAAGTAATATCACCACTGGGACCTGTGTCATTGCATCCTGCCTTTGGCTAATCATCTTTGAGGGCTCCTCAAAGGAGGATAGCATGTGGACTTCCAAGACTGTACCTTAGTTACAGAAAGATATATTGTGCTTGGAAGCTTCTTTAAAAATGGGCAACTGAGTAAGCAGTGAAGAAGCTGATCACTGCACATGGAGCTATGTTGACCTTCGTGCTGTAGCTGTAAGAACAGTGAGGACATGAAGCCCTGCTCTGCAGGCACAGCTGTCAGCAGTGTCTCTGTGACAAACTCATCTCAAAGTTCCTCAGGGAGTTTTGGGTCGGGGGATTCTTACTCATCATAAGCTGAGGGTCCTGTGTTCATTTGCCTTGTGTGTGTTTTGCTTTGCTGTTGTATGAGAGAGGCACTGAATTTCTATACTGTTAAAAAAGTTCAGTTACACCATCTGTGATGTTCCTTGGGGCACTGAAAGAACAACTGAGAGATTTTTGTGGGCAGTGTAAATTCCAGATGTTGCAAATGATGAAAGCAAAACAAATAATGTAGGTTTTTTAACAGAACAAATATGGTGCAAAGAAGCCTTTATTCTTGCCACCTCTGGAAAGTGAGATATCATGACTTTTGTAAAAGGTGGAAAATAATTCAGTCTGTCAGGTTCTGCAAAATACTGTGTAGGTTTCAGTTCTGCCTATCTGTCTTAGCAGAGCCATCTTTCTAGGGTTCCTGTTCCAAATTCTTTGTTCACATATCTAATTTGCAGAGTTTGCCATCCTGTTAGTTCCATATTGCAGCTGGGATTGTTTTCATCATAAGTCCTGCACCTGCATGTTCCTCCAGTGTTAGTGGGAGGTTGATGTGCTCATTAATGCTCAAGCTGTCTTACACATATTTTGTTCAGGCTTAAAAAAATAGGACTTCAGGAGATTTTAGAAGACATTTTGAAACCAGGAAGGAGGAGATAGATTTGAACACTGCTTTAAGAATAGTTGTTGTTCTTATTTTATTGATACATAGTGCTTGATTGGTTTTTTCCTACAACTCAGTAAGAATAGAAACATTCAAATATTGAGTTGTTTCAGTGAACTGTATGTTTCTGGGGTTCAGTATGTGTTTCATTTATACATAGGTTAACAGGACATACTAACTTGAAAAGTTATGTTGAAAATAACTTTTGTTACTGTACATTGACTCAAATAAAAATTATTGCTATTTGTGGTTTAGATTTTGACTTTAAACCTGCACCGTTTGGATGGTAATCAACATAACAAGGAAACCTTTTTGGCCCTAACATGAAATGTTTGAATTTACTTTCAAAACCTCAGCTGGGATACTACATATTTTAGCAATATTTTTTTTTTTTGCATTAGAGCAGTGTATGGAAATGGAATATTTACTACTGACTAACCATTATATCAATAAATCTTATTATAAATATATGCTTTATATTTATCAAATTTGTGAAGAACCAGAGAATTCTTTAACTAATCTTAAGTATGATCAATGAGGGGTTTTATGACAAATGGTTCCAAGCAGCAGTGTATGCATGGAATTGGTGGGAAATAAGTCTGTGGTCTACAGTGCATTTTGTGCAAGAAATTAAGAACATAACTGACAAATATAAATCTATATTTTAAATAATAGTGTGGAGAAAGGTTGTGGTTTTGTGTTGTTTGGAGAATTAAAATAGCTTTTAATGATGCTGTCTGCAGTTTATTTTGGTCTTCAGATAATCTGCAGTCTTTTTTTCTGGATTTTTTTTTTTTTACAGAAAAAAGACACATTTAGGACTTCTGTGCTGAGAACATTTATTTCCTTATCACCAAAGTGTCCTTTACAATGTTGTTCCAATAGCTTTTTGGGAGAGAAGCCTGGATGCTAATCAAGCATCTAAGTGTTAAATTTGCCTTGCAGTTTTCAACTTCATAGTTTTATGCAATACATCCTGTATTATTCTGACCATGGGTATTACTCTGCATGTTCAGAAATGTCTCCAACGTTTATAGCTTATCACAGCTTGGTTTTTGCAGCTGTTAAACTTGAATTTTTGCTTCATGCTGTCTACAGGGCTGTTGAGGAGCGTGTGTGTTGCAAGGGAAAGTGATCATTTAGAGGCTTTGCCCATCTCCACTAGTATGTTAACCGTTAGTATTCTATTCTACCCTGAAATGTTTTGTATGAGAGGATTAGAGGATTTATTCCTACCACTGTCCCAGCTTAGTTATTTCTCTCCATGCACGTTTATCTTGGCTGTGCTGGGAAAGTGTGGCATGTGTTGGAGCTCTTGAGAGGTGCTTTTACAGTGTCACATTCACCAGTGTTTGAAATAATTCATGCTTCTTCTGATGCAGCTCTTGCAGCCAGAATCTTGGGTTTGTGTACTCTCATAAAAGATGTTGCACCAGTGTACACTGTAATTTATAGTGGTGACTTTCCCTTTTGAAAATTAATCTGCACTGCTTTGAGCTATAGATCCTGTTTGTCAGCATATGTACATCTTGTACCAGCACTTTCTATACCAGCGACTAGAAGTATTCATGCAGACCCTTGAAGTGACCAGACCTGCCTCATGCAGCTACATGGTAGTAATCCATAAAGCTTGGACAAAGCTGCTTAACTTAAAATTAACTTAAAATTACCGGGCAATCTGTAGTGTTGACTGTGTGGTGCCTCACATGCAGTTATCTTGCATTTCTTGATGAGGTTTCAGCAGGTTAAACTTTGTGGATCTTCAGCCTTGTCCCTTAACAAAGCAAAGTTTTGGCCTTCTCAAGAGCATCTGTGCTTTGTATAAAGAATCTTGTATTCTCATTCTTTCGTGAGTGTTCAATTCTGGGCACTGGCAGGTCAGTCTGATTCGGGGACATCTGAGTATCTCCTTGCCCCATTTCAAAGGTATAGGAAAGCTTGAAGCCTAAATCTTACAGCTCTCCAGATAATTTTGCTTTGAATCTAAAGCTTAAAAAGCATAATCAGCAATATAAATCTGAATAGTTCTTCCTTTTTTATCACAGCTTGATCTGAATTTCTGTGTAGAAAAGATTCAAATTGTTCATACTGTTGGATCATGTTCCCACTTGTATTTTTAAACCACATTAGCTTCACATATGGATGCAAAATGCAGCTTGAATTTGCTCTACTGATTTTTGAAGTTTTATCTGGCTTTTTGTTTCATAGCTGCCGAAGCTCTCAGAATGTATTTATGAACATTGCTCTTATTTGGTGAAGCTGATTGAAGAGAACCTTTTCTTCATTGTTGTTAGGAAATATTAATAACAGGTTTACAGTTGTGGGTCTCATCAATGTATGATGAAAAATATTTGCTGGATTTTTCTAATCATGAACAGATGTCAGTGCCTGAACAAATTGAAGTGTATACCCGAGGAGCATTCCCCAGTTCTGTTAATTCTTAAGTACATGTGTATATATGAAAGAAAACAAATTTGCGTGGTTTTGGGGTATGTAAAGATCTTGATTAATACATCTAGCAACAAAAGCACTGTTACAGATTGACTCTTAAGTGGTTGCCTGGTAGCTCCTATATGCATAAGGAATATTTGCATATACTTCAGTGATTTTCTGAAAAGTTTAAGCTACATATTTTTCCAGTTACTGCCTTGAATTTAGTAGTCAATAATGACTGTTGTAAAATGCATGCTTGTTAGTCTGAGTTCTCTGTTTCGGCACTGTAGTGCAGCTGTTTGGTTTTGGTTGGGGGGTTTTAGTGTGTGTACAAGACTTTATCTTCTCTTCTTAGGTTAGATCTTGAGTTGCAAATTAGAGGACAGTGCCTATAACAGCTCTGCTGCTGGTCATGTTTGTCCCTGGTGACTGCTGGAAACTTGAGATTTGTTGACTCCCTGTGTGTACTGGCAGTGGCTTGGCTTTGCATAAATAGCTGGTTCTCTGAATCACACTTAATGAAATTTGAATCCTCTGATTAAAATAGCAACTGCATTTCTAAAGTGCTTTTATTAGTTAAAGTCTGTCCCAGAGTGTTCTTTCTGGATCAGCATACAGTGTCACTGATAAAAGTTAAAATGCAGAATAAAGTTAAAGCGCAGACAAGTAATGCCAATTGACAACCTGTGCTATTTCAGTATAGGAAAAAGTGTCTGTCTTGTTTTAAATCACAAGATTGTGAGAAGTGGCTTCAGAGTAGTAGTAAGATATGGTGCAGTGCTTTTCTTTGATTTCAGGGCCACGAGTGGACTTGCAAGTCTAGCTGAATTTAGGTGTCAGGTTCATGGTAAATGGAGTTGAAATATATACTGGATGTCATAAATGGAAAAATATATCACAGCAGTTGAGAAGTGTAGATTTTAACCCTTCAAATTATATGCAAGGCCTGATCACACTAAGTATGCCATTCTACACTTGAGTTAAAATTAGCTCCAGTTTAAACCTTGATTTTCTAAGTAGTTGCCTTGACTAATGTATTTTGAGTAGAAGTGTTTCTGGTGTTACTTCTTAAGGAAAACCCACAGACCTGCTTATGCCTATTGTCAACTTATATGTGCATGTTTTGAGTAAGGAATTGAGTTACAAACACACACCTTTTAACTTATTTCAGAGGAAGTATTTCTATGTAGTCATCAAAGTTCCTACACAAGAGTTTTTATCAGCCTAGAATTGGAAAAAGTTTTCCTTAGTACAGTAAAAGTTCAGACATCAAAAGGAGTATATTGAATTAAATTAGGAAAATGAACTAACATTACTGCCTGTCTTGTTTTCTGTTTGAAATAGTGATGATAAATCAGATGAAAAATAGTGCTGGTTTTGTGAAATCACATAATAATTATAAATTATTTGGGACTGTGTGGACTCCTGCAAGAGAAGTAAATCAGTTGACCACCACAAGCTCCTCTGAGTGCTTAAATTTCAACTTGGGAGTTTTTTAGTAGTCATTAACAAAAATAGTGTGCAGGTAATTGAATCAAGGTACAATAAATAAGGTGTAGAGCTAATACTTTTCCTTTAGTTTCCAATTTAGACAGGACCTTTTATATTATGTTCATACATCATTTCTGGGCAGGCTGCAAACATTTTATGAGTTCATTTAGTTCAGCTGATGTCCACAGATTAGGCAATACAGAAACTTTTGTGAAATCAAAAGCTGAGGGAATGATCAGATTAGCACCTAACTAAATTAAACTGTGGATTTACAGACTAATCAAGAAACCCTTTTTTTTTTGACTCCTTCAAGTACATTGAACTTACTATGAACTTAGTTGCAACTCTAAGTTCTTTTGGATATTAATTCCTAGCACAGTGTTAGCTGCAGGCCTGGCAAAGAAGCAGTTTCAGTTTCAATGGACATTTCAACTGTTGACTGATTTATCAAAATACCAAAAAAAAATGTCCATGGGTTTAATAAAATTGATTTGTGTTCCCACTTTTGAAGGGATGCTGCCAAGTGGTATGGATTTTCATGTCTTTCAAATGTTTTTGTGTTCCTTGCAGGAACTAAGTGATCTGCAGCGAGATCCACCAGCCCACTGTTCTGCCGGACCTGTTGGAGATGACTGTAAGCTCTTCCTAATACATTCAGTACATTTCAGTTCTGGAAAGGCTCAGAAAATCTCTAATTGTTCTATCTTTTTGCCTTTCAGTGTTTCATTGGCAAGCAACTATTATGGGACCTGTAAGTATAGGAATTGTGCCCCTTAAAATGTGCCCCTTGCTTCCCTTTTTGTTATGGAAGGATTTGTTTGGGTTTCTGTAAACACAGCAGCCACATTCAGCTGTGCTGTACATAGCTTTAAACTTCAGAGTGGTATTGTTGTTCTTATTAGTCTGGTACCAGTTGCTTTCTGTAATTCCTCAAAAATCCCTCCTCTTCATGAAGTTAGAGGTGTTAGTCAGCTGTGGTGTTTGAGTTGGTGATATGGGCTACAAAGCAAAGAGCTTGCTTTTCATAGATGATCAATTCTGGAAGATTCATCCATCTGAAAGGAGGAAAAGTGGATGAAATATTGAAGTTGGTAACTGTAAAACAAGGGTGGAGTTGCAGAGGGCTTTTAGATGGAGCTTATTTTATTTGATAGCTGTGATGTGACTGGCAAAAAGCATATGGCTTTTGCAAACTGCAGGCCAGCAGTGGGGTGCTTTTGTTGGTTTTTGTGTGAGAAAGGTGCTTTCTTTGAATTGAGAAAATTAGAAGTCTTGTGCAGGTAATGACATAAGAAATTACCAAAAAAAGCTTAAAACCAGAAGGTTTTGAAGGAAAACTGAGAAGAATTTTAGCAAGAAAAATAATAAAGAACAACATGATCTGAGGGAATGTGTGCTTATTAATATCCTAGTAAGAAGTTTGTATTCCTGGTGTTTTCCTTTTGGATTTAATAATTTGGAAAAAAGTGTCTCTAATTCAGAGAGTGAGCTGAGTCACTGTGCCAGGTGAAATTTTGAGATAATACTTAACCCATTAAAATGCAGCATTAATTCATGGAGAAAAGTGGAAATGTGTCTGCTTTGAAGTAATTCTCCATTTTCAGTACAGTTCTGAAGCAGTGGAAGATCAGTCACAAATTTGCTGGTGGTGTGCTGGAGTTTGTTGCCCAGCTTGTCCATGGCCCAGCAGCAGCTGTTTTCTGTAGTACACTAATGCCTTTGCCCTTTGGCTTGAACAACAAGCATGTTGGTATGTTCTTCCACATACCAAGGCCTTCTGACTCTTGCCCTCTTGCACTGCCAAAGGGTAAATGGCAAAGTGTTGACGAAGAGTTAACAAAAGCTTATGTGCTGGTTGCCACCAGTAATGTCTCTGTCCAGAATGACTCTGATGACATGAGTAAAGAAAATATTACCACATAGATTTTGGCTTAAATTCCATTGTCTTCTTCAGCTTTCAGTTCAGTTTTCATATTCTATAGTGGAAAATATTCTTTCCTTGGCCTTAAGTTCCTCAGATGTTTCTAGTTAAGAATGAGCATCTCTTGCTAGCAATTCTCAGCTGTATCTGCAGAGGTACAGGAACAGAACACTTCATCTATTAATCCTTGATCTTGATAACAGAAGAAATTAGGGTTGCACATTCTGTATGTTTCCTGATGGCCCAAGGGAAGCATAGGACTAAAGCCTACCTTCAGAATTCACTTCCTATATGTGGAAGTAGGGTAACTTCTCCTGTCTGTGGGTATCATCAATTTGTTTTATTATACGTTGCTCATAAAACATGAATGACTTCACTTTGCTTTCTTTTTGACACTGAACTTTGTCTTATCTTCAGCTTACTTTACCTTTGAAAAATCCATTTAATATTTGCAAGAGGAGGTCCTTTGAAACCTAATTGGAAGTACAGTGGCAATTTTCTGAGGTCAGCTAATGCTGACTTAGCATGACAGTATATAACCTGCCTTACTCTGCAGCCCTCTCTGCACTTTGAGCATGTAAGGCAGCATGACTTAGCAGACCATTTGTGAAACGTTGCCTCTTACAGTCATATAGTAATCTCTAAAACTGTTCATTTCCAAGGTAAAGGTTTTATGTAAAAAGTCTGCCTTTCCTTTCATAAGAAAAATCAAAAATTTGATCTTTAGGTTTGCTCTGATTGAGTTCCTACATGGTTGTTGTAAACATACCATATGATGAGAGCAGTTTTCTTCTTTCTCTTAACCAGAAATGGCAGAACTGCTCTATGTCACTTATCATCAAGACTTTCCAGCTCACCTTTTAAGTTAATAAAAAGTTAAAGTTCTTCAACAGATAAATACAACAAAATTATTTCTATCTATTAACTGTATGCAACCTGGACGTAAACCTGTGTATGTGTTGTCTAACAAAATGCACGTTCACAGATTTGTACAGGTCACAGAGATGTTGTGTGTTTTCAAACCCCCTGATATCATCATAATGAACTGAATTATTTTGGAAAATCCCTCTCTTTGCATCTGCAAAGAGAAACCACTTCTTAGGCTAAGTATGTTTGTAGCTTAAGCATGAAGATCAGAGCAGCTGTGGTCTTGCACAGAGACAGGATTTGGAGGGCCTGCTCTGGTTTTTGCATTCCCTTCAGTGCACTGAAGCTATTGACCTCCTCTGTTTTTCTCCCCAGAAGGGCAGTGCTCAGTAACTGTTGTGCTGCTGCAGTAGCCACAGTTACACTGGGGAGGGTTCAGTTCCTCTGTGCCTTCCCAGTTTATGGCCCATAGTGGGCTATGTACTGGAGAAAAAATGGATTGTGTAGGAAAAGGAAAGCTCCAAAACAGCTGAAATATATTAACGTGTTTTGTTTGTTTTGTTTTTTTCTCAGCCTGATAGTGCATATCAAGGGGGAGTATTTTTTCTCACAGTACACTTTCCAACAGACTATCCTTTCAAACCACCAAAGGTAAGTCCTTTCTTTTAAGGAAAGAAAGTTTTTTGGTCAAAATTTATTCTTGGAGGCTTTATTTTGGAAGTTAAACTAGAAAGGTGACTAATAGCATACATGTTCTTCATGGCTGCAGATAAGACTGTAAAAAAAATGTGTTGGCAGATCTGATATGACTGGAAAGGAAGGGACAGTGTTAAGGATTCCAAGTGTAATAACTCTAATCTGATGTTATTTTTCATTTTTTTTTATTACAGATTGCTTTTACAACAAAAATATATCACCCAAACATAAACAGTAACGGGAGTATTTGTCTTGATATCTTGAGATCACAATGGTCACCAGCTCTGACTGTTTCTAAAGGTAAACTCACTGATTCAGTAATGCATGTATGAAGCTGCATACACTGCCGTGGCACTTTTTTGTGTTATTATTGCACTGTCTTAAAGGCAGGCAGTGGGAACTCATTTATTCTGCATGTTTCAGAAGAGGTAAATTCCATTTGGATTCTTGTTATGATCCAAGATCTTGTGCCATTTATTGGGAGTGTCACATTGCAAAAAAATGCTTGCACAGCAAAGAAATATTCTAAACCAAGTTGGGTAAGATAATAATGTACAATTCCCCTGATATGTGGTAGCTGACTGTGCATGCTGAATGGAGAAGAAACTGATGAGCAGGGCTTGCAAATCACAACTTGGAAGTAAATGTGAAACCCTGATACTGACGTTGTGTGAGCTTACATGATTGCCTGTTGGTGACTCTTCAGGCTGCCTGAGCATCCTTATGTGGACTAAGGTCTTAAATTACACTTTCTTTAAAAATGAAGTAATTTTTTCTGCTTTGCATTCCTTTGTAAGATGGATATTTTAAAATGTAGCTCCTTTCACAGTCATCAGTCAAAGTTTTATTAAAATATTCTCATCCCGTAGTGAAGTTTTCAGGCATTTTGTGTCACTTAAAATGCTGCTTAAAGTGGGAGTGCTGTTGCTTCTCCTCACCCATCTTCAAATTTCTAAGGCACACTTAGTCATATTACAGAAATTTCTCATGTGATTCACAAGGTCAAACCATATAACATCTCATGTACTTAGGAGCTCTCTAAGCTATGTGCCAAAGTGTCATTGCTTTGGGTGTACAAGCAAAGAAAAAATTGGGTATTTGTGCAATGGAAATGGCTCTATGCAAGTCGAGTTGCTGTACCTTCTTGGAAAAACAACTTCTCTTGCTTACAGGCCTGTGCAGTAATCTTACAAGTCATATCAAATCTAAGTTTAATATTCTCTTTCCTGAAGTCATTGCTAAAGACATCAATTACTCTTATGTGTAATTGGTATCATTTTTTTTCACATAAATTAGTTGTTTTACAGCTATCCAAAAATTGTTTTGTTTCTAGTTATTAAGCAAATGAAAATTGGCACTTCGGTTTAACATTTGGCATCTATAACTGAAAACCCATAAAATGTTTAGATTTTCAGCATTTTTCTATCTCTTTACTTGTTGAGGACTCCTTTGGCTATAAAGTGGAGCAGTCTGCTGGTCTCATGTTCAGATACTATGTGCTTTTAACCTGCTTGCATATTACGTATTTCATAAACTGGAAATTAGCTCAGTGACTTATGGAAATTTCTCCTTTCTAGTCTTTGACTGAATGAAAAGTTTACAGCATATTACAGCACCTCTGACCATCCGTGTGACCCTGTATTCTAACCTGATCTTTCCCTTTTACTGGCATTTAAAATAAGTCAGTATTGAAGTGGCTGAACTTTCTACTCCTGAAACTAGGTGTGGGTTCTTGGGTAACAAGATACAGCAGAGGGGAAAAAAGGTATTCTACAGCTGATTCTTATGGCAGCATGAAGTTCCCTTTCACAACATATTTAGAATTATTTGTTTGTGTATTCTTGTATGCATATTAGTTCTGACCATAAAAATAGAAATTGCCTGAAAATTGTGGCCTGAAAATGTTAGGCAACAACATCAAACCTCCTTGGTTCAATACCAGGAAATTAATATGAAATTATAAGTGAATACCTGTATTTAATGCTGATCAAGTATTTCCCAAGATGCAAGTCATACTTAGGTAAAATGGTAAAATGTTCTTATGATTGAGAGAATAACTGTCAGCACAGAAGTGGAAAAGGATACGCACAAGTAGAGTACTGCATGGCAATGTAATTAATATTAATAATACTAGTTACCTTAACTGCAGATGGAAAGCTTTGTTTTGAGCAATATCTGTATGTCACTGTGCAGTCTGTAGTTGGGCTAATGTTCCTAGGCTAGGATGTGGGAGAGAGACCATTACAAAAGGTACAGGTTCACAGTTGTAAATTCCCTGGGCTTGTATCAGGTGTTTACTTAGGCCCTAGAAAAATGCTGCTGTATAAACATTTCTGGACAGAACTGTTAAATGACAACTTAATACTAATATGCATTCTTTTTCTAATACCTTCCTACCACCCTCTTTCAGTATACTGGAATACATTAAAGGATTGTATAAATAAAGAAAACTAACTTGTTTAATCTAGTGTCTCTTTTATTTAGTTTTATTGTCCATATGCTCCTTACTTTGTGATCCTAATCCAGATGATCCTTTAGTACCAGATATTGCACAGATCTACAAGTCAGACAAGGAAAAGTGAGTATAACATACATAATTGTGTGTGTGGTACTTGCAGATGGCTATCTGCTGTGCATCTTAGATATTAAACTTAGCAATACTCTTTTCCTAGATTTCCACAGGATTAGCTCTTTAAATATTGAGAATAGTGATGGCAAGTAGAAAACTGTAAGCATACACAGCTGTTGGTAACTCATTTTTTGTACTTAATTGCATAAAACCTTCATGCTTTTGTGTAACAGATTGATTGCATGAAAAATTATTTTCCCAAATATGAGTTACTTGTCTCTACTGCAAACCTCTGGTTGTAAAACCCATACAGAAGATTTTTTGACCTTCTGTTTAACTGACTGAGTTATTTGGTACCTATTTTTCAGTGTTGAGTCATTGAAGACTTCTTGCAGTGTATGCAGTGGCCTGTGGCTCAGCACATGTCACAGATTCAGGAAGATTTGTGTATTGCCTTTACCTTGAGCAGTAGACAGCAAAGGAGTGATGTAGAAGTTACATGGACATCTGTGGTCTAGTATTTCTCTGCCTAGACTAAGAATTACTAAAATGGCCTTTTTCTCACAGTTCAATGTCTGGTATAGTCAAATCATGTAACTTCTGAAGTGCCTGAATGCTGTAGCTCATTCTGCAAAATAGATTAGTGTCCAAGTTGAGGATGTTGTGCATCAGCTTGTCCCCATTTGTGGCTCAACTTTTTTCTACCCACCTGCTTATTAGTGATTTCAGCTGTTGTACCTCCTGCTTGTGAAGGAAGTGAATGAGGGATGTTTTTCTATCTCCAAATCTCAAGATTTAATCATTGCTAAGGAAAGTAAGAAAGTACATAGTCTTGACTGTAGCTTTATCTTAGATGATCACCTATTAGTTTTTTTTTGTTTTGTTTTACCTTGGATTTAGGAAATGAAAGATATGGCTGGTTACCCCTGAGCATTTATCTATGAGTATTTTAAGTTAAAATCCACAGACTTGTATGGTAGCATATTCTTAAGAAGAAAACCAATTAGTAAATGAGTTGCTATACTGATCTTAAGAGTTAAAAACTTGTTAGCATTTTTCTCTGGTTGACTCAAGAAAGTGAATCCAGTCTGATGAGTAGAATGTAGCAAATGTAAGGACCAGAGTGGAGGCTATCAACTCTCTAAAGACATTTACCCTTGGGATTATGGAATTATAAGATAATCAGCTTCATACTAGAAGGAAAAGACTCAAGACTTAAAACCTAGTAAAAAATGCTTTTCAGAAAATTTTCTTTGCAAGTTTTGAAATAGAGCTGGCAGTGCAGAATGGAGAAAAAAATAAATATTCTGAATTTCATGGAACTAAAATATGTAAAGTTTGTTATGACTCTAAATAGCTTATGCCTTTAGAAGTAATTGACAACAAATTCCTGTTAAGGTACAGATAAGGGAACCAGTCATGAAACACAAATGAAGGATGCACAATGCTACACAATTTAATGCAAACCTGTGAAGTTGGATTTGAGTTTGAATAGCTCTGATAGATAACTTTAGAAACTGAATGTGTAGTGGGTATATAGTTCTTAGCTTTTAGACTGTTCTAATGTTGTTTGCCTCTGCTCAGAGGTGAAAAGCTCAGTAACACCTGTATTAAGTAAATCCGTGGCCATTGTCAGTGTATCACTAACAGCTCTTCACTGTAATGCCTTCTTTCTGCACGTACAGATACAACAGACATGCAAGAGAATGGACTCAGAAATATGCAATGTAAACTTTTGAAGACATTTTCATATACCAGAGTACTGTAAATTCTAGGTTTTTTTCAAAATTAGAAGGAAATGGAGCACAGTTATGGTTTCAATGTGACACCCCTGGAATTTTTTTTCACCTATGTAAGTGTGTTTCTGGAGCAAGAGAGAACAAACTTCCAAAAATAACATTATGACTTTGATAAGAATATTTATCCTCTTTGTATGCTTTGCAGAAGACATTTATTATAGTTTTTAAGAGTTGGACACCTGCATCTTCAGACTACACGATCTATAATTCAGCTGTAAATCAGTGAAATTATTTTTGCTGGAAAAAGTAGCTGTTTCATGTGATAAATACTGTATGTGTGTCTGTCATTGAAGTATGTTGTCTGTTTCATAAGTGTGTTCAAGTTTCTTTTTGTTAGTTCTCTTATATAATTTGTATTTTTGTACTGTATAGACTATTTTATTTACAATGTAAGTCATTTCAGTTTAGACTTGCTTGTGCACAGTATTGACAAGATACAACTGCTAATAATGAAAATAATTGGAGTATCTCACCCATTAGAATATTCTGAAGACTGACTGCAGACTTCTTAAAACCTAAAATTATCTTTGCACTGTAAATCTTTGTATGCTGATTATGGAGAAACACTTGTTTTGATTCTGTTGCATACTTGACTTAATTTTATTGCAATGTGAACTAATTGCACTGGTATATAGAAAGATATGTAACTGTTTTGTTGCTATTCACAACTGATTTGTGATGTGTGGGCAACATAATGTTATCACAGACCTTTTACAAATCCAGATGTAGCCTTTTCCATATAAATAAAATACATTTTCTACTTTCCTTGGCTGGGTTTTTTTTTTTCATCTTGACTCATGCATACCCTTGAAGTACTTGATCCAGCATTCTAACAGAGAACTGCCAGTAGTGTGTATGTTTCTTGTAGACAGAATTTCCAATAAAGCCATGCATCTTGTACTTAGAACTGGGCTCTAAATTAATTTTTATGCTAGTTCTAACCTACTGGATTTAGCATATTATGCCCATTGTTGGATAGAGGATTTTAACTAGGTTAATCCCATGCTACACCAATATCCAGCTACGGAGGAGAGAATCACAAGGGTCTGTTCAGGTGGTGTATTTGCAATATCAGAATGTTACAGTCAACTCACAATTGAAAGTAATTTTTCTCCTCGCACTTGAAAGTAACTTGTCCATTAGCTTTCACTTCAGTTGCTTCAGACTATGCACGTGGAAAACCAAACGTACTGGAGAGGGGCAATTTGTTCTTAAAACATAGATCAAAAGCAGAAATATACTTAATTTTCTACCATTCAATCTTCTTGATTATTTGAAAATAAAAAAAGATGACTGAATGTTTTTATCTATATCTTGCACATGAAAGAAAAAATACTTTCCATTGGAAAATATGTCATAAAATACATTTGTAACATGACAGATTTGAATTATTTTTTTTTATTGTTTTTATTTGAATATGCATCAAACTGGAATGTGGGGTATGGGTGGCAAGTGTGAACAGTAGGAGCTTTTATTCATACCAGTGGGATATCAACTTCATGTTTCCTGATTTACTCACCTTAAGTTTGTCACATATGGAAAAATGTAATTTCTGTGCCAGTTTTATTTGTGATGTAATGGTGACATTTGAAACAGCTTGATTGAGAGTGGTTCTAATAACCTTAAAATATCCCTGTTCACAACATTTTGCAAGCTGAATAAATGGAATTATTTTATTTTTTTGTTACTGAGTGGTTTATTATATTTGAAATAGGGCAATGAAGCCAGGAAGGTAAAGACATCATTTGCTCAAATGATTATAGAAAAATGACCATCAAAATGCGTTCAGAGTTTTTGTTTTTCCTACGTAAAAGAGCAATCTCTTTGTACTGTAAGTTATTTAAATTTTTGGAATATCTGTATAGAACTGTGTGAAATCAGAAGTATGACTTGGTTTCTTTAGGTTTATCAGTTTGTGTTAGGGGTGGTTTGAAAACATTTATACTTTACCTGGCAATGTTTCTGTTTTGTGCCGTGCATGAATGACTTTACACCACAGTATGAAACCAGCAGGAGGATTGAAAACCAACCAACACCCATGTGTAGGGCATGTTAAGCATATGTAAATATTAAAAAAGGAACTTATGATCATGCTGTTTAGAGGTGTGAAGCTACATCTTTGATTGTTATGATACTCCTAGCAGTTCAACCTTTCTGCTTTTGAAATTACTGAAATGGAATGATAAATACGTTATTTAAGAGTTCAGTCATGCTAGGAAGTGGCTGGGTTCAATCTGTGGAGAGAAACACTTCCACTGCTGCACCTTCGGAGCTCCTCGGTTAATGCTTTTTATACAAATTCTATTTCCAAGGATGAGAAGTTTATGGTAAAAAAAAAAAAAAAAGGCACAACTGTTTGGACCCTGTGAGGGTGGAAAAATGGTCTCAAAAAGCTTCTTAAATGTACAATGGTTTTTCTTGCACTCCCCAAGGAAAAAAAAAAAAAAAAGGCAAAAAACCCCAAAAAACCAACACTTCATTTTTCCCCGATTAGTGGGGGCAGTGGCGCCGGCTGTTCAGGCACAGCCGCGCGAGGGAGGCAGCGACGCTGCGCGGTTTGGCGTGCCGCAGCCCGTCAGCACGGGCACTCGCTGCCGGCGGGTTCGCGCCTGCTCCTGCTCCTGTGGGCGCACGCACGAACCGGCCGCGGTGCCACCCTTCGGGCCGCGGGCTCACCTTGCGGCGGTGTCTCCCTGTGGCGGTGCCTCCCTGTGGCGGTGTCACCTTTGTTCCGCCGTCCCCTCCGCAGCGGGGTCCCGTGCGGGGCCGCCCCGCCCCGCCCCTCACGCCGCCGCGCGGGGCTGTGCGCAGGCGCGGCGGGCCGGCATGGCGGCGGCGGCGGCCTGGCTGTGCCGCGCCGCGGGCCTGGGCCTGGGCCTGCTGACGGCCGCGGGCGGGCGGCGGCTGCTCCGGAGCGGGACGGGAGCGGGGCCGCGCCAGCGGGGCGCGGGCACCCTCCTCGACGGTGCCGCTGTGTGCAGGGCCGGTGGCGCGCCGGAGCGCTGCCTGTCTCGGGGGACCAGCTCGAATCAGCGCCCGAAGCGCCCCCTCACCGCCTATTTTCGCTTTGTGATGGACAACCGCCCGGCCTTTCGGGAAAAAAACCCAGGTACGAGGGTGGAGGGGAGGCGGGGCCGCGGTTGGCGCTGCTGCGAGCCGGGGCTCCGGTACCGCCGCTCCAGAGCGGGGTGGCCGGGGAGCCGGAGGAGCAATCCCTGTGTGGGCCCGGGCTTGGGAA